GCAGTTGCGGAGCCTGATCACAAGATGGCGGACACAACCGCATCTAGTCTAGCCACAGTTGTTCTTCCTGAGTCTAGTCTAGCCACAGTTGTTCTTCCTGAGTCTAGTCTAGCCACAGTTGTTCTTCCTGAGTCTAGTCTAGCCACAGTTGTTCTTCCTGAGTCTAGTCTAGCCACAGTTGTTCTTCCTGAGTCACGTCAAGCCACAGTTGTTCTTCCTGAGTCACGTCAAGTTACAATTCATTATCATGAGCCAGGTCTAGTCACAGCTGTCCTGTTTTGGTAAGGGTGGGTTTGAAAGCGTTCATGCGGTAGGGTGCACGGTCAGGATCTGGGGCATGGGGTTGTTTTTAGCTGCAGATTTTAGGCTTTATTGCTGCCTAATTTCTCTACCCAGCTGCCCATTTAGAGGGGTAAAAAAGGAATACACGGATAGCACCACCCTCCTTTCTCTCGCGCTCACTGTTTCCCGAAAAAATCAAAACAGGGTTTGGTGTGACAGCAAAAAATTACATCGCCAATGTTCTGTTCCAGTTTTGAGGTGGGAGACCAGCTGGATGATCTGATAAACACCAGGAGAATGGTTAAAACAAGATTAAAGCAGCTAGGACCAGTCAACTATTTTTTATTTATCAATTTTATTGGTATAAGAGCTTCTTGATATATAAAAAAATTCTATATTTGATATATCAATTTAGATCAATATATTAGATATATATTTGACAAACTGATATATAACAGCTTCTGACTTCTGACTGGCTAGTTTGAGATGGTCTCCCAGCCTAACCAGCTGAAAAGTGCCCCAAACCACTCTAAAACCAACCAACATACAAGACTGACCAGCTCTGGCTGATTTAAAATGGGTATATAATGTAAAGCCAGTTTGTCATTATCATCAAATAAATCCTGACAGGGTAATAAGGATTTAATGGACATAATGTGAGAAAAAAAGATAGATGGCACAGTGATATGAGAAACATAAAACTAGAAAAGTTATGTAGGATATTTGTTGTTTGTTTCAACAGAGACAAAATTCTTTAATTGTATTTATTTATTTTATTTTATTTTATTATTTCAATTTAATTTTGTTTTTATACTTTCACTATGATTTCCTATACAGTCCACTGATCAGGGAACTCGAGTGATCTTGAATTGATAGTGATTTTAACCTTTAAATATTCTCTAAAACATACCACTTGTGTTGCAGAATGATGGACGGATTATAATGGAGGATTACTTTTGCATCCTCATTTTCGTTTTCTAGTTTTTCCCATTTAATGTGCTTGTGTTACATGTTATTGCGTCAGGTACACATAAATTCTACAATTTTACAGTTATGCACACTGCATAGAATACAAGCAATGTTTGTGTTCACAGTGGGGCGTTTTAAAAGCTTTATCATTGCCACTGGCTTTGTCATAAATGAATCACCTCAAAATTGCCTTTATTTGTTTTTATGGGTATTGTGTTTTATTCATTATTGGTTTGTTGGCCAGCGGTAGTATTACCCCATAGATTTCACATTTTTAACAGGTTAATGTTGCATGGGTTAAAGAATAAACATTTAGATTTACCTTATAGTTCAAAGTTGTAAAACGAGTTGGTTGGGAATGTGAGGTTGAATGTGAATGCAGAAAATACTAGCTAATGACTCATTCTGTCATCAGGTAAAAATGTTCTCCTAATGCTGTCCTCATATGATTCTCATTCTTGTCCTTAACAGAAATGCTGCAGGATGAGTTATGTGAAATATGCGGTTTCATATTTGGGTTTTGGGGTTTGAGCAAAGGTATGAGCGAAAATAACAGTGATTGCCTTAGAAAGCCAATCTACCTAGATTAGAAAATTTAAAAAACTACCTAGTACTACTAAAAACATTACCAGCCTTGAAAATCTCCAGCCTTGTATATGACAGCAGACAAGAAAGCATTCAAAGCCTATTGAGAGAAATGCTTTTTTGTGTGTGTTTGCTTATGTTGGCAAGGACCTTTTCTGTTTGTTTTGTTTTTGTCGGTCATTCAGTTCAATTTCTGAGAGGCTGCATCTTGTATAATTGTGCAACCTTGTAATTCCTCGAAATTAAGCAATGATTTCTTAAGTCAGACGCTGCAGCTTTCCATAAAATCCTTGAACGTAGAGGTGTGCTATTCTCATGTGCTAGCACTTACTAGAAAATGTCATGGTCCTTTAATTGGGACATTGTACCGTAGCATTTCCATGTTTATTATGCACATTTCATATTACTTTATGAGCTTGTGAACGTTCTGTAATGAAGTTTTTGTTTTTGTAATATACAGTGGGGCAAAAAGGTATTTAGTCAGCCACCAATTATGCAAGTTCTCCCACTTAAAAAGATGAGAGAGGCCTGTAATTTTCATCATAGGTATACCTCAACTATGAGAGACAAAATGAGAAAAAAAATCCAGAAAATCACATTGTAGGATTTTTAAAGAATTAATTGGTAAATTCCTCGGTAAAATAAGTATTTGGTCACCTACAAACAAGCAAGATTTCTGGCTCTCACAGACCTGTAACTTCTTCTTTAAGAGGCTCCTCTGTCCTCCACTCGTTACCTGTATTAATGGCATCTGTTTGAACTTGTTATCAGTATAAAAGACACCTGTCCACAACCTCAAACAGTCACACTCCAAACTCCACTATGGCCAAGACCAAAGAGCTGTCAAAGGAGCTGTCAAATTATTAGAAAATGGAAGACATACAAGACCACTGATAATCTCCCTCGAATAATTACTCCATTGCTTGTGCATAAGGTATAGACAAAGCAGCTCTAGTGATATTGCTATTACAGAGTGGTCTCAGTTTCATAATGAATAAAGTAGGCACTTTCTAGATAGTGCTCAGTGATGAGGTATTTATTTAGACATGGGCTTAAGAGCAAGAACCTGGTACACAAACACTGCAAGTAGATGAGAGCCAGCTTTGTGTCAGACAGACATTAAATATTTTATAGCAGATTTCCACTTCTAATGGGTTACATTATCCAGTTATGTGTTTTTAAGGGTGGCTGTGACTGAGAACATGATCTATTCTCTTCATATCCAAATAAAAGAGGTTAAATGCGATTAGGACGTGTATCAAAGAGATTTTGTGCTGGCAGACTGATTGTTAAAAAAATATAAACCCTATAAAGTGGGTAAAAACACAATTTGTTTAGGCTTTTGCAGGCTGGGAATATACAGCTCAAGGGTTTTCACTGAAGGCCAGTTTCAGGATTGGGCCAGTTTTGGTGGCTTTATGAAACTAAGCTTCCGTTGTTTTGCAGCATCAGCGATCATGTTTATGAGTGCCACCAGGTTGATACGAATGTAATTTCATTTAGTAATGTATAAGTTAATCAATATAATAGGATAAAGAATATCCTAGTGTCACTGTACTGAAGCCAAAGCAAATTATTAAAACACTTACTTTGTATTAAATTAACAGTATATTGTTTTATACTCGCTTTTAATGTTAAATATATTAATATAGTAAATATTAATAAATATTATATTAGATTAATATATACGTTAATATAAATCAATACAATTTTTTATTTATTTTATTTTATTTAATTATGACTTAGATGCTACAAAACTACGTTGCCTCATTCTGTTTGTTTCAATTTGTGTTGTACTCAAGGTCATATGAAATGTGCAGCTCTGAGAAAGATCAATACACAGGAAAATCGCAGTGTACAAAGGCTGTGAAACTCCCTGTCGGTGAAGCACATTTTCTTCTGATGTTCGCTGAGTCAGCTTTACTATTACTGACTCTCATGATCTTGGCTTTGCTGAGGAAGATGCCAGTTTTACAGTTTGTTCTCCACAGAGATCTCGACCTCGTGTTGTTCTGCATGTGGTTGTGTGAGTGAATCAAAACGCAGCCAAGTTGCTCTGAAGCACCGTGGTAATGTTACAGATGGTCGCTCAGTGAGGAGTCCTGGCATGCAACGTTATGAAACTCTGACAGATCTCATTTGGGTCTTACCGGTTACTTTTAGTTTTATTCTCCCTCCTAGTTGTATTGTTTTACAACTTCAAACTACTTTTAAATAGGGCTGCATGATTAATCAAAATTAAATCGCAAAGGCGATAAATCGCGATTAGGCAGAAGCTGCGATTGTCATGCGTATCTTTCAGTGAAGCACGGTTCTGTGATCAGCAGTAAATCTCCATCCTAAGGGCAGAGGGTGCTCTCGCGCGGAAACTCAAAATACACCTCGCAGAAGAAACCCAGTAAATCCCTATAGCGGTTGCTGAATAAACAGAAGATTTAACTGCTTTCATTAATTCAACGTGACTAATAAACACACGACTATGACAATATATCGTTTATCTGAGTTCATCTTATTATCATTTTTGTTATAATAAAGTATATAATAATGCAATGCTAATCGACATGTTGCGTGCCTTATTCTGTGTAAGAAGCCACATCATCTCACAAAAGGATTTATTTCAAACACTCGACTGACGTTATGAAGTGAGTTTGGAGTAAAAACATGTTATTAAATGTGGTTTATTCTGTGTAAGAAGCCACATCATCTCACAAAAGGATTTATTTCAAACACTCGACTGACGTTATGAAGTGAGTTTGGAGTAAAAATATGTTATTAAATGTGGTATTTTCACGTGCTTTCAGATGGAGCAGCATTTACTACACAGAGCCGTAGTTCACTGACAAGCTACGCAAACAGCTTTCATAATTGCAGAACGATTTCTTCGATTTCATAATCGCGCTATTAAATCGTCTGCGATTATGAATGTGATTTTGCGTAGCTTGTCAGTGAACTACGGCTCTGTGTAGTAAATGCTGCTCCATCTGAAAGCAGGTGATGGAGATTTACTACTAATCACAGAACCGGCTTTACTGACAAAATGCGCATGACAATCGCATTCCATTAATCATGCAGCCCTACTTTTAAAACCAAGTACACTCTGAGAAGAAAATATACAAATCTGTCATTGAGGCGGCACTCTATTAAAATGACTAATATGTACACTTTAGGTAGAAATATGTACTTTTAAAGTACTACTATGTTTCTTTAGGTACTAATACTGTATGTACCATTTAGGGGACAATAAGGTACAAAGATGTAGCTTTTGTACCTCAGGGTAGTGCCTCGGTGACAGCTTTGTATCTTTGTAAAATCATCTCTTAAAGAAATAGCTCACCCAAAATGAAAATCCTGTCATTAACTCCTTAGCTTAATGTCTTTTTGTGTTTCATGGACAAAATGAAGGTGAGTAAATAATGATGGGATTTTTTTGGTGAACTATTCCTTTAAAAACAGTAATTCTAAATAGAAGTGTTACATAATTACACTCTTGGATTTGGGAATTGGGGCTAAACTCCAATTCAAAACCACAAATACAAGTCTTGCAGCCTTTCTCAGGGTCGAACCTAGCAGAATACATTTGTTTGTGAGATCATTTGAGAAATTGATCACTTGTAGCAGGTGTAGAGGGATTTCTTTTCAGCGTGCAGCTGTCTCTGTGTGTTTCAGTTACTGTAAGCGTCTATATTCTGGGAGTTTTAACTGTAGTTCTGCAAAAACTGAAAGTGTATGTGACACATTAACACTAGAGTAAAACTCTCATGTCATCATTAGCACTCTTTTTTGGCTGTAGTGTGAAACAAAGGTTCGTGTTCATAGGACAAGTCCGGACTTGTACCAGCAGTGACTGCCAGGGACAGTTGAACCCAGTTTGTTACAGTGGCTTCTCGTATTTAGTGGAGGCGTAACTATATCGCTCAGATGGGGGCAGAAACAGCTCTGCCGACTGTTTCCATGAGGACTGTCATGCATTCCCAAAATCAACTGCTACACATCTTAACTAGTATTACGCAAACTACATATTGAGTGTTTGGAGAAAGATACTGGCTGTTGTTTGTGTGGAAACCAGCAGGACATTTTGAAGGCTACAGTCAGTCAGATGTAGTTCTTATTGTTTTGAAATGTTGGCAGATCGAGGGCATTTCCCACTTTGGCTTCCTCTGGCCATGAGGCTGTTATATTAATCCCATAACAATAACTAATTTTACCCTCTGTGAGTACTCTCTTACAGGAATTGTTTGTGTTTTTTGCTCAAGGAGTTGCACCTGGCATAAAGGTAAAAAAGTATTTTCATTAACATTTTCACCAAGTGCTTTGAATGGGTTTTTGGACGTTTATTGCCTTGAACTTATTGTACATGAGTTTTAAATGTATAATTCACAAATAAAATGAAAATGAGCTGTTAATTCACTTTAATTTGCCCTCAGGCCATCCAAGATATAGGAGCCTGAACCGTAAAGAAGATTTTTAGCTGAAACTGTGGTCCTTGGTGATAAAATATGAGTCAGCGGCTACCCATTTTTGAGAATAAAAAAAGCATTTCAAGAAACACAAAATTTATATCCATGGCTCCTGATGATATATTGAGGTCTTATGAAGCGAAACAATCAGTCAGAAACTGAACATTAGTTACAACATTATTACCTGAGGCAAATGGTCCAGTGATGTCAAGTGATGTCCGGTTCGCGAACGA